GGCACCGGACCCGCTGGGCTCCGGCAGCCCGGAGCCGCCGCGGCGCGGGAATCTGGCACCCGGCCGCCGCTCCCTCGCTGCCTTTCCCGCGGCAACTAGTTGGGGCAGCGGCCGGGCAGCGCTGCCCGGGGTGCCGAGGGATTAGCGAAGTCGGAGCGGCGGCGCGGTGCCCCGTGGCTGTCCCGGCACCTTCCCGCCGCAGCCGCTCGGAGCGGGGCCGTGGCGGGGCGCAGGGCGGAGGCTGCCKCAGCCGGGTTTGGGGCGGGGGGAGCTGCACAGGGTGGGTGCCTCGGGGCGCTGATGTGTCCGGCTCCCTTTGCAGGCTGCTYGGGTACTTCAGAGCGAGCGGGAGGCTGAGCCGGCAGCATCCCGGGCATTTCCATCAAGCGCCCGCCAGCAGCCCGACACCGACTGAAATTTAGGCGTCTTCAGAGAAGGGAGGAAGATCCTCATCTTCCGTAGCCTCCTCAATGAGTGCCAAGCTCTCCAAAGAGTTGAGGCTRTCGCTGCCGCCTTGTCTTCTGAACAGGACATCTGCCACCTTAAATACCAGCAGCACCTGCATCACGCAAGTGGGTCAGCTCTTTCAGTCCTTCTCATCCACTGTGGTTTTAATTGTCCTGGTCACCCTCATCTTCTGCCTGATCCTCCTCTCCCTCACCACCTTCCACATCCACAAGAGGAAGATGAAGAAGCGGAAAATGCAAAAGGCTCAGGAGGAATATGAACGGGACCACTGTGCCCGCAGCAGCAATAGCAGCAGCCAGCACCCTGGGACAGTGGTGCAGGGAGAGGCACCCCAAGGAAGAGACAGCCGACTGGGAAGACCCCTCCAGGACTCGGAGATCCAACGCTCCTCTCCCTCAGCAGCCCCCAGCTCTCAGCAAGCACAGGCTTGTTTGGACACAGCTGGTGCGGGGCTCCTGCAGACGGTGATTTTATCATGATGCTTTGGGGGAGACCTCGCGAAGGCACTGGTTGGTGTTTGTAAATATCTGAGTGATTATTCTAGTCCCCGAAGAAGAAGAAGAAAAGATTGCTAATTCAAAGGAACGAACAAGCCCATGATCCAAGCGCATGACAGATCACATTGCGTTTCTCATTGACTGTGTGAGGAAAGGATGCATCTCCTTACTRGAGAAGGAGCTGCACACAGCTACTAAATATCGAATCATCAACCTACAGAAGAGGGTCAGGGGTAGGGGATCCCTTTTGCTGGGACATTATTACCCCGAGGACAGGGATGTTCCTGCTCTTGGGATTCCCTTTGCACCCTGTGTCATCATTGCATGGTGTGGGTTGGGGTGTGGGTGAGTGGTGTGGGGGGAAAAACAGAGCTGGTGGGTGCCTTGGGACCCCTTTGTCGTCTCGGAGCAGACTGGTGGTACACTGTCGTCTCTCCCTTTGTGCTGGGATCTAAGCCCCTGTTCCACCCCACTCACTATTTTCCAGGACTGGATATTGCTTTGTGTAGAAATGGCCACCCCTAGTTGGGCTTAACTGCAAGCACCCTCCAACCCCAGAGCCCCGCGCCCCAGCTGCAGCACTGAGTGACCCACGATCTGGGGGCTGGATCAGCTGTCTGCATAGAGTGGTGCCTCAACTTTCCTCTCCCATCAGCTGCCTTCATCTTGAAAAGCCCCCCTTTCCCCAGGCCATGAACCGTGATACCCAAACCCAGGACCGTTSTGTGTGGAAGGGAGAGGTAATGTGCAGTAATTTTCCTGTTCTCTCCCAGAGGASGTTGTCTTTGCACCTCCCGTTGGTCCTGAAACAGTCCAGTTCTGCACCAGGCACCTGGCACTGAACGCCTGTGTTTACAGCTTTGTCTCCCAGCAAGGAATCCTGCAGCAGTACAGATCTTGCTTCTACTTTTTCAGGCTGATATGTATTTCTAACCCTCCTAATCTTGTAGACAATTAGGGACAGACAACACTGAATTTTCTCCTGTTTCCTCTCTTGGGAAACAATCAATGCACTTGTGCAAAACAGTCACTCCTAGACCCTGGCATATATTTGTTTTAGAAGTGGTGTAGTTTATCCCTAGCAAGCACCGAGAGTTTTGTTGTCTCTGGATGGTGAGTGTGAGTGGCTGCTGCTCCTGTGTGTGTTGGAGGACACGGTGCCATTTACAGAAAATGCGTCTTTGCTTAGTGATTAAATCAATGACCATTACTTGAAGGTACCTTAACAGTGTGCCATATCCAAACTTCGGAACATCCWGTGTGGTATGGTGGCAGAGGCAGCCCTCTACTGTGCATACTAGCATCTGAAAATTCCAGCGAAGAAAAAGTGATCCCGAGGGATTTATTATATTTTTTGTCCCTTTCTGTTCCTCACTTGAAGTGATTTGAGGATATAGTAATAGTCTACAGTTTTTAATATTCTATATCCTTTGTATTTCTTCTCTGACATGCTCTGTCTCCCAGGGTGGCTGACCAGACAGATGGACCCAGACCCATGGACCRGGAGGTCTGGGGCAGTAATCTGTGAGTGAATGTCACTAACCAGTTTATAACTGGGAAAGAGTGCGGCAGAAGTCCTTTATAATCCTCTAACACCCCCAAAACGCAGAGATTTCAGGGCAGTATTTCTGTTACCCCAGTTTTAGCGCTTTCTGATCTTTCGTGACGGGAAATTGCTGTTAGGTTTGGATTCGTGCCTCCAGCGTTTTAGGCGCTGTACCGGGGAGCCCAAGGAGCCGCTCCCCGCGTTGAGGTTAGTGTGGCGAACCACCGAGGGCTGTTTGCACATCGCCGTTTGACGGGGAGCCGCGGCTGGCTCTTGCTGCCAGCCGGTGCGATCGGCTGATAATGGGTACCTCGTTGTTGCTGGGCAAGGAAATTGGCTTTGTTTTGTTTCCCCTAATAAAGGATGCATGAACTTTTATGTTTAACCTCCTTATGCAACTGCGGCACAGTATTGCACCACAGGGAATAGATTTAGGACAATAAGGAGTGTTCAGTGAGCGGTAATTGAGCTTCCTGACCGCTGGTCTCCGCTAAACAGAGAGAGGTATTACTTTCCCCTTTATTTTGTGCCTTTAAACCGCCCCATCGCCCCCGCCCCCCCCCCTTCCCCCCCGAACAAACCAACAGTGTATCATTTCGAGTTTTATAAAAGCAATAAGATGTTCCAAATCATTCCAGTGCATTTCTGGTTGATGATTCCACTTCTTTAGTGTCTGAAGTCAGATACTCTTCCTTCTGCCTTATGCACTCAAGGCATGCAATAATTCCCCAGAAGTGTACTGCTTGTCACATCTCATTGCAGTTATAAAATTGCCCTATTTTTGAAGAAAAAGAGAAGGRTGGAGATATATATATCTTTATATATATATAATGGATATACAGGTATATGTCTTATTTATATAATCTCATGCCACTGAAAGTAGTTGCAAAAGTGTGAATAGAGTTAAAATGTTATGATGTAAAACTCTATCCACTGTTAATTAGCTTTGATTTAATATTTTAATATCTCTGTATTTATGTAAATCTGTGTAAATTATATGGTCTATCAGTAAAATTTCATACTGACTTTAATTTTTGCAGAACCGTGAGCTTCTTGTGGTGTCATTTAAGGTTTTTTATTTCCATAGTTAAACTAGACAAGATATGTGAAGTTGTAAATTCCTAATATCACGCAGGATTACTGCAATAGGGTTCATGCGTATTCTGAATACACAGCCCTATCTTGAGGTATTGCAAGCTTATGAGGTTTAATTGAACGGTCTCAGGAGATCTAGCTGATACAAGCAGGACACGTAAGTTTTCATTTTCATGAAACAATAAGCAATCTAGGGAATAGATGTGGATTTTTAAAACAGAATTTATGCTTGGAGGTTCTGTCAAATCAATTGCTTCAAAAGTCTACAGCTACAGCTAAACTTCTGCACTTAGCATTCAGTATTAATAAGGCTGATGTTTCTTTCCCCTCCCCCTMCTACTTAAATTAGAAAAGAGTAGAAAATCGTTCATATTTCTAAAGCATACATTTTCAGCTAAATGTGAAACCGCCCAAAGGGTTTTGAATATACATATTTTATGCAAGTATAATATCTATGTATCTGTATCCATATATTTAAATATTTTTGTGTAACCTTTTTTACAATATTTGATAGAGATGTGGGGTAAATGCTTGTACCATTCCTTAACACGAGCAAGGATTTTTACCCTCTCGATGCGGACATTCTTTTTCCTGTGAATTTGCACTGGTTTTGACAAGTAATGACGACGACTGGGCAGCTGAGTGCTGACTGATGGAAGCACAGACTGTCTTTCATTTTTTAAGGGGCACATCCTCCAGCTGGATTTCCCTGGTTCTGAATTGGAGCTGGTTGGCCACTAGCATCCTGCATGTGTRAGAATAAGAAGTACTGTGGTGCTCAATAGTTCCTGTCTGGTGCAGCTGTCATTCTGTGGAAGAAGCACAGCAGCAGTGACTCCTTTTGTAGAGTCTGGTGAGAACAGAGACGATGGGCAATGTGATGGTCATGGTGGGACTAGATTGGAGAAACAGTGATGCCTCATCCTGCACTCCTGTCCTCAGASCCTGCTGCTGCCCTGGGGATTCATCCAACTCCCGCTGGCATCAACAGGAGTGGCTTGCACTGACTGCCAAGGGACTGGGATCCCATCTGTAGTCCACACGGAGGGTGACAGCTTTCCACATCGCCACCACTGACCCTGTTGTGCTCCTGTCCCAGCAGCCTCCAAGGGGATGGAAACCACTGCCTCCCACGGGGGCTTGGTGCTTCAGCCTGGTGGCACTGGGGAACCCACACTGCTGCTGTTAGCTCTGACTATGGACTGAGGCATTTGGGTTTCTACATGGATCGTGGACAGGGAATGTCATTTCACTCAAATGTATCATTCCGGCATTTTTTTCTGTGTGGGTTTGTCTACTGCGAATGTAGTTTCCGATGAAATTTGCCGGGCTCTCCATCCAGATGTATTTTAACTTTTGATACATCTCTCTCAGATGTATATCTATAAACTTGTAGATATATATCTCAAAAGAAATGCTGGACAAAAAGCAAAGAACATAGACTTCACATTATTGACACAATTGTCCTATGACAAAAAAAGCTTTTTTTTTCTTTTATTTAAAACTAATTTTAGAGGCTGCATCTTTAATGTAAATTGCAAGTTACTCTGTGATTAATATTTTCCATAGCATTTCTGAGTAATTGCTGTCTTGTTTCTGGGAAGCTGTGTCAAGTGTCATGAAGCAACTGTGCTCTTTTCCTTCTGTTATGAATAGGAATGCAACTTCTATGTAGGGAGGAAAAAACAGGATTTGACTCTTTAGATAGGACTGAATTATTTTAAATCTCGTCATAGGACTTGGTTGCTTTTTTCCTTTCTTGTGGTTGTTATCTCTGCACGATCATGTTTTTTCTATGGGTACATTGAAACCCTACATTTTAATAAGAATCAAAGATATGAAGGTAAACATGACGAATTATGTAGGAAACATTATTTTTCCTCTTTTGTGTAAATATCAAAATTTATAATGACTTAGATACCATTTCATTACATTTCTCATCTCTATAAAATTTGGCATGRCACATACAACAACCTTTAATGGCACTTTCATTTATGTTAAAAGTTAGAACTACTTTTATCCAGGACTGACTTTCTCATCCCTTTCAGGTATTCAACATTTTTTCCCCTAAGCGAAGTTTTCCATCTGATTGCTAAATAAATTTCTAGTAGAACAGAGCCTCCTTCTGGTTTTAGTCTTTTACATGTTGTTTTCTGGTCAGAATCTAGCCAAACTCATTAGTGTAGAAAATGTGCAAAAACTGGATGGCGTATGAGCCTTGAGGAAAGAGGTGACTGGCAAGCAAAGAGGTGAAATGCCTGGTGATGTAATAGTTGGCTTTCTTGTTTGGAGTTGTGGAAGGGAAGTGTCCCCTTCCACTGGATGGACCTGGGTGAAGGGTGACCCATTCCAGCCACAGCGGAGACAGGTATCTATGCCCTTGCTGATACTGTTGCTTGAAAACGTCATTTTCTATATGACATAGATCTTATTTCTGTAAATTATATGTAATGTATTTCTTATTCAAGTCAAAGAGGTTTTCATTGCTTCATCAGTATTATATGTTCTCTGTGGATAATTAGAAGAATTAATTTTCCATCCCTTTTAACCCAATACCTCTACAAGCATCAATTTTGTATGAGTTAGGAAATAAATAAATATTTGGATCAGAACCCTGTCAGTAAAAATTGCCTTTATTTATATAATCTGGTGTTCCAGTTGGCTTCTCTTTGTTGTTTCCTTCCTTGAAATGGAGCAATATAATTGTTCATTTTTTACTTACTGAAGAGGACAAAGACTTTAAAGCAAATACTGCAAATACAGATGTACAAAGACGAAAAGTTTTCACACTGTACAGCAGGATGAAATAATGTAACTTTTTTTTGGTTGTTTCACAGCCATTTTTTGTCATCTGTTTTTCGTACAGCCTCCAATCAAGCACAATTTTTACTTAAAATCTTTTGAAAGAGCTTACATAAAACACATTGCTTTGCTTTTATGGTTTTACCTTTCTTTACTACAYAGCCAATGACAAAGTACAGATTAAAACTCTTCAAATGGTATCCTAGGGRATTATGAGTGCTGTAAACAAGGGGCAAGTATAGAAGGTTATAAAAAGAAAATTAGCTCTATAATACAATAAAAACAGGAAGGGCTGTGGGATGAATTTAGGATTCTAAAGGAGTGCCTTTATTTTGTTCCTGGCTCTGTCACTCATACATCGTGAGGCTCTCAGCTTCTAAGCTATTTATATAATAATGTAACATATCTATTAAAAAGACTTGGAACCTGCAAATGTACAGCCCTGAAATGAATAAATGAAGCATCATTTACATTAAAAAAATACTGATAGCATAATACAAATTAAAAGAGTCTTTRTACTGTAATCACCTGGCTTGGAGTRTTTCAAGTGCTTCCACTTGGAAGCTCGATCCAGGTGGCACACTGCACAGCTGGGAGACGGATGGMTGGGCAAGATGCTTGAACAGTCGCACCGAGAGGCTCAATTTAATTTTTAATTTGAAGTGCAATACTTATGTTAGAGACTGAAATGCTACAGTTTATTACTTAAACATTTTCATGACGAACTTTCTGCATACTATAGCAAAACTATACAAAAGCTGCAGAGAAAGCCACCAAAACCCTGAATGGGACCCTGGCTACACGGCTCACTGCCCGCTGATCAAATGTAAGATACAGAACAGCTCAGAGCTGGAGAGAAGGACACATTCACAAAGGGATCATGCTTAGCACCTTTGGGTGGGGACCGTCCCYCCAGAGCTATCAGCTGCCAGGCCAGCACAGACCCTCACACCAAAGGGTGATGAGGGGACAAGAGAGGCTTTGGGTGTCCCTGTGCCCAAAGGCAGAGAAACGCCCGTGCTCTGCTGTGCAAAGGAGCTCGGCTGTGCAGCCCTGCACCCCGGGACAAGCTGATCCAAACTCATGTGGACAGTCCAGGGGCTGTCATGGCCCAAAGACCCCCCCAAAGGGGTCCCCAGACCCTACAGTAGAGATGACGCAACAAATCCAGTGTTGCAAGGGACAGTGTCAAACCGAGCCCCCTGCAGGGGTGACCCGTGGGCGTTCCCAGCTGGCCCAAAATGTTTATTAATGCACTGGATTCTGTACTCTTTGGTGTGGTGGCGTGGCAGCAGCGGCGGGGACCCTCATCACCCAGACCACTGGATGGAGGGGAGCACCGAGACGTCGTTGGGACCCCCGGAAGGGTGATGTGTTTCCATCTAACCCCTGCCACCTTCTCCCTGTCCCCATGTCCCCCTCCCCCACCCCCCGCACACTTTCTATTTCTTTCTTTCTTCTCTCTTTCTTCTCTCTTTCTTTCTTCTCTCTTTCTTTCTCTTTGCCTCTTTTACTATCAAATAAAGTATATCAATTTTTTTGGCATCGACATTTTATCTCGTTTGGTTTGAATCTCGTTTTTGGGAATATTTTGAACCTTTCTTCGTTTGGTCTGCCTTTTTCACACACTTAGTTTCCTCTGCTTTTCTGTGATTAAATTGGATCGTAACAATGTATTATGGAGCAGAGCCAAGAAAACTAATGTTTATTTTACCATTTCATCACACATAGCACTTCTTTTCTCARTACAATAAGCAGCCTTGTAGGTTTTAAGCAGAGTGCTGACTAATGTAATGAGCATATAGKAAAAGACAATTCTTGGGAGCAAACCCATCACTAATGAAATTCATGACACAAGCTCCCTGAATTCAGTGGGGCCTTGATCATGCCCAAGAGGATACCTCTCTGCTGGCTGTCTATCCCTTGCCAGTGTCATCAAACTCTTGATTTAGTTTTTCTAGGTCACATGGATTTCTCCTGTCTTTTGACTCACCATCCACATGGTTAAGGATCATGTGGGATTACCTACACGTGACACACTCTTGCTCACTTTTCTTTAGCTTTTGTTGTGTCCTGCTCTCTGATTTTCCACTGGAGAGCCTGTCTGTCTGGTCTTTCCACTAGGGATAGACTATGTTGGCCAGGCTTGGCTCTTCCTCCCAGTGGGTGACCTCAGCCTATTTCTGRCATTAGGACATTCCTCATTGTAAGTGATCAGTAGGTTTGATTTGTGCAAATATTCTGTAGGACYTTGCTGTCAGCTAGGTCCAGCTTGTCACACATTTACCCACATCTCAACCACCCTGCAGCAAGACAGAAGTTTTTGAGAAAATGCTGGACCTCAAAATAGCCTAAGAAATAACAGCAYGATTCCCAGCATAGTCTACTGGCATTGGAACAGCATCACATTTCCTGATTAAGCTGCCAGTCCAGGACCACAGGCTGAAACTGCTGARAAATCATCATTCTTTCATATCAGGGGCACCACTGTAAGGGAAAACATCAGTTACTATAGAACGGAGACAAAATAAAAGAGAGGATATGATTGTGAGTATTATTATACAAATATATGTAAAACCTGTGAGACAGACAAGATCAKCTGAATGTCTAATGATGGTTAGCCACTCAGTCCACATTTTCTTCTTTTAAATGAGATTATCCCYAAGACTTGTGGTCTTCAATGCTTTTAGACACATTCTTTTACTTTACTGCTCAGCTAGAAAAATCAGTGAACCTGTACTTGTCTATGAACTCCAGTTAAACTGTTTAAAGTCTATTTGTTTTCATTATAGAAATAGAGTTTCTACTAAATCATGCTTTTAACAGGCCTCAGCAATAACATAGGGGAGTCTTCACTTCCAGCAAACCTTTTAGAGCTTGTTCAATCTGGTAAACATGGTGTGTAAAGGAGGACAACAGTCCAGATGATTATATGGGGCCACTGTAAAAATCTGTAAACAATGATTGCATTTAAACAGAAAGCAAGAAACCTATTAAATCCTGAGACAGCCATGGCTCTTTACCTGTCTACAATGAAGCAAGTTCAAAACATCTCTGCTCACCACTCGAGTTATTTTGGATTTATGTACTGCTGGAAGTGAGCTGACTGTGAGCTATTACCTATCTGACAGCGCTTCTCTGAAGTCAGCTCATCCTGAGATAAAGGGATGAGGATGAACCTAGCATAGGAGTGGAAAAGGTGGGTGATATGTGACAGATGGGTGCTAGTGGGACTGTTTGTATAGCACTGTAGCCATACTGCAGGTCTAAGGGCAGATTCCTCAGCCCCGTACACTTGCAAGTGAGAAAATGTAACATCTTTACACAGCTCKTGGTATCAGATCTTAATGCCTTTTGTAAGTGAACACTTTTTACAGCTTCCAGAGAAACTCTTATGATTGCTATGCTCCAATTAGACTTCTTTTGTTCATTAAAAAAAAATATTCAAATGCTCTGAAAAATAGAAAAAAATATTTCAAAATAAAGTAAGGAACAGGATGCTGTAATCCATGTGAGAAAGGTTTGCTTCTGAAAGACATCAGGCTGACAAATCTTCATGTGTTCATGGCCTGGGGACTTCACCACCAGAGAGCCATGTTTCTTCTCTGCTGATGTGCACTGGTTGTTGCAGTGGGGGGCCAGGAGGACAAATTCAGATTTCCTCAGGCTGATGGAGGTGGTGAACTTGTAATGGCATAAGCTGTCAAGAGGAAAATGAAAACACTCAGCTCTCATCATGTACAGTATGGGAAAAAACAAGTTTCAGAAACACAAAGATTTTTCTGGGTTAGAACTGGTGTTTTGTTGAGGAACAGCTCCAGGATTTATTTCACAGTACTTTGGTTAAAGTAACTTCTCAGCATGAGGAGGTTTCCATTTGTTTCCCTGTCTCCTACCCTCTTCTACCACTCTTCCAGACTACTTTGCCTTCACTAASTTATTTTACTCCAAAGAAAGTTTCGATACACCTGTGCAGACATGTGTCAAATGAGCAAGTGAATCACAAGGGAGGAAYAGCCCCTGGGTTTGCTGTGGAGGAGGCATCCAGCAGCATGGGAAAGGTTGCAGGGGCWCTAAACCCTTCAAAACAGGTGTGAGAAGAAGGGCTTATGAGTCCATGAGTTATCTGGTGCTTTGATCCCTGTCATGACATCTGGGATTAAAATATTGATAGCCTTCTGTGGCTGTGAGGCTCCAGCTGGCTCTTGGGCTCTGGCACACCCCGCTGCCCCAATGCCCACAACTTTCTTCATACCCCRTGGTGTGAAGCTGCATTAGCCTGCCTCCTTCCCCTACCCTTTGAATGAGACCCTTCATGTTTCCCCAAATACCCCTTGCTCATCTGTGWGACCAGCTCTGTACAATGTCTACAGCTCCCACTCCTGTCCTGGTTGGAGTACAGAGCAGCGTAGGTGAGGACAATTTGACCCGGGACAACAAAGTTCCAATTCTCCCTGCCTTCCTCTCCATGATTCCCAGCCYAGCCACCCACCTGTTTTGTAATGAGCCAGAAATGTTCAGCTCCCTGCTCTTCCCTCAAACACAGTTGAAATTAGCCAATGGACCCAAAAACTGCTGGGGGAGGACAAGTGACAGGCGGCCGGGCAAAGAATATGCCTGCACAATAATGCAGGCGTTAGTGAAAGTAGTTATTTTTCACATCTCATGAATTCTAAGTAAATTTCAAGACTTTTTTGGTGCCTGACTCAGAGTTTAGAAATGTTTGCATTTGGCAGTGCTGTTCAACAATATCTTTGAAGCCCATCTGTGCTGTTTACACGCTCTTTCTTCAAATGCCCCCAGGCATTGTCTGTTTCCTTTGGTTTTCCAGAATGTAATCTGGAAAAAATCTAAGATTACAGAATGTAATCTTTAGAAGCAATAAATTAAGGGTTTGATTGATAATTGTGATGTTCGTGTGAAAGTTGTTCAGAAGGTGAATCATGCATTTCTGAGACTAAAATGGGATCTGGAGGCAT